ATCCGTAGCGAAGAAAAGTTCGCTGATAACCTGATAATGTGCGGTATTATCACTCGACATCATTTGTGAATACCATTCAAGACTTTAGTTGTCAGTCAGCTAAGCCATCATCGAAACATGTCTCTAAGATGAATTTGATGCCGTGATTTCATAAAAAAGCCCATGTGATATGCTACGACGACATAGAATAAAAAGAGTAATAATTCCTTCTATTCAACACTTCTCGGGATAGGGTGTTTGACACAAGAAGGAGGAGAGCCTGGGGTTAGCCGGGCGATCCTACTGGTAAATTTGTAAAGGACTAAAACATAACGTTGTTTAAATTCTTCGTTATTGTAATAGTCCCACAAACATTTATACTTCATTCCGTGAATGACACTCCATTTCCATTCAAAATCGAGATATTGTTCTGTAAGCGTATATGGTCTGTACAATGATTGAGGTGGCCTGCAGATGTAGCGAACAGCTTGAGTCCTCCTAGTGGTACGCGACGCCAACTATTTGACACCGGATGAATGGAAGGCTTGGAAAGTCTGGGCGAGTATCGTTCCGGAATTTGATTCCAGGCCATGCACGTGATAACGTACTCTATTGCTATTACTCACTGTCACTGTCTGTGTAGCACTCTGTCTTCTACGTGACGCTGCTAATTAATTTTCTCCTCGACATCCAACTTTTTTGGTATGAAACGGTGCAAAAATGGAAACTGAACCCCTGGACTTGAGGGACCCATTTATGGGTATAACATCTACGTAAGTTCCCTGGAAGCAACAACTCACAAGTGTGACGAAAGATGGTATGTAAATTAAAAGAATAGTTGATACGACGGTACGATTACTTGGTGGCGTCCGCTTCAGAACATAAAAACGATAGGAAAATGAGAACAGCAAACTCCATAAAGCATGGCAATAGCAGTGCAAAGCGAAGCTATGCCTACAAAAAAAAATTTCGAAAATGCTGAGTTTTTTTCAAAAGCTATTCAAAATGATCAGCATATGTACGTACATAACAAAGCATGCCTGAGAACCAATCAGTATGCACGGTCCATAAAAGATCAAATATGCGGCACGACCACCAGCAATTAGTCTGAAAGAAAAGGATAAAGGTTGAAAAAAGTAAGCGCTTCCCTACATCACTTCTTACCATCTCTGGATGAGTCACATGCTTTTTGTATAAATACCACCTAATCTTCTCCGGAATTTTGTACACTTCCGAAAAAATTTCTTCCCGACACATTACATACTAAAGGAGCAAATTTTTTTCCAATTCGAGACAAAGTTTCCATGTGGAATGAAAATCATCAGGGATTCAGTGCTCTTCTTCTCTATTGAGTATTGTGACTACGTCCGTAGATGGGAGGCTAATATTTTCGAAAAACAGACAGAAATAAAAATTTCAATCACAGACACATTCACACATATGTTCATATGCATATGTATGTGTACAGTTACAGACACACATACCCATGCACACCCATCCTCTAACAGACACATCTAGGGATAAAATGTAATAGGGTTACATATCTATTTTATACATTACATGCACTCATACATACATGCACACACATCATTTACACACAAACAAGCACGCTTGGGGGACTAGGGAGAACATAGGATTACACATGTATGTATGCATAAAAATATATCATAAAATAATAAGCATTATCTCAGACTAGGTGAATACATCTGGCTCAGTAAATTACAGCAGAATCTTTCTGCGTTTTTCCCAATTAGAGCATAAGAAGAACCACTCACAGAAAAAAAGTTCAATCCACTCACCTCGGTTGAACTAGTAGATCTGCTAAGCATGTGAAAAGCTCGCACAATGCAAAGTTAAGAATCAAAATCGAATAAGTTCTGAGCTGTTTTGGGGTTTTCTTCAAAACGAGAAAAATCAGGAGCATATTGAAAAGGACTCCAAGAGAGCTAGATAACGAATGTATCAGGGCGCTGCATAGCCGAATATAATTCATTTCCTGAAAGTGAACAATGACCTATAAGTATGGAAAAAAGACTATATTTTTCAAATATATAGCTCAGTCAGAGAAAAGAAATAATCACGCTTTTCCGGAATTATTGGCGATGGTCGAAGGATAAAGTTTACCCTAATGATTCCTTTTTTTTTTGTTAAAGACAGTCGAAAAAAATTTGCGTTTCGCGCTGGTGGCGTCAAATGTTGTATGTATCCTACCCTCCTCAAAATTCCCTCTAGCCCGGCTCATTAGTCTTACGTGATGTGCCAGACTGCAAGGAACGGAAAAGTTTACGCAGTGAGAGCTTCGGGGCTCACTAACCGAGAGACAGAGCGCATGGTGAACATCTTCGGATTCTTCGGTAATCTATGTGATCATGATCATGGTCTCAAATGCTTTATTTTAATTTTTCATATCATATAAAGGATCGGTATTGAAACACAGAATAAATTTTGAAAGTGCCTAAAAACTCTATTGTATGACTTTGTTGAAGCTACACTACTCGAGATTCTGTTGAAGTGTCTATAGTTTGACAGTAACATTCACTACCACAAAAAGTGCTAATATGAAGCCGTTGCAAAGCTCAAAGCCATGGCACAAGAGCACACAGAAAGTCGAAAGGATTTGAAGTTGAAGGTCATTTGTTGATCTCTTACCTATATCACCCCCTCCCCCCTTGATTTTCATGGATTATTCACTCTTGTTTGATTTATTTGTGACGTATTATAGTAATGCTCTTTGGGTTTGATAAAGTCATGAACAAACAGCGCGAATTTCACAAGGTATGGCCGCCTCAAATCAAAAAAACACTCTTAGGTTGGCTGTCAGCTTACTCGCTTCAGCGATGACTTCCCGACTTTTCTTCGACGGATCGCGAATCCTACAAGACCAAACAACACTTCGAGGGTAAAATAGTGGTAAGAACCTGTTTTCTGTGATTATCCGTCCATGATATTCATTTCTCAAAACCGTTCTATGTTAATTTTTGGTTGAGCGATCTCTTTTTCGAACTTTCTTGGTATATACATATTCAGCCCACAATAAACCATTACTTGCACAGTGACAATTACGAAGACTTTTTCAAATCACATGCTATCTGGCACATTCTTCGAAAGCGAACGAATTTAGTTGCTTCTAAGCTGGTGGTAGAACTGCTCATTAGACTACATGATAAATAGGGAATTTCCTAGTTCTCTGGAAAACAAAACGATAAAGGTCTCTTTCTAGCACTTAGGCGGATTTACAAGATTGCATCAATAGCCTATAGCCTATCAATAGATACTGCTGGTCTAGCTGAAAGATAAATCAGTGTCGTTATCCTCTCAGGCACGTTGGATAAAAATTAACCTACTCCGGAAAAATAGCTCGCTAAATTGGCTTTCGTGAATTTCAATCAGGCATTTGATCCCTGGTACATGCTTGTATGACAATGCCTCACTTGTTTCTGCGCCATCTCCGTCCGAATAAATGTAGTCCACTTTAACTAATGAAGCGTTCAATATAGTGAAAAAACTATGAGCTTTTACTGGAATAATATCATCACGGGTAAACTTTTCCATAAATTATGCGTATTGAGTTCAACGAAAGCTGGTCTTTTGAAGCATATCACAGTTCTCTGATAGCTCATTAGAACACATGTGAAACGTCTTGTTTCACCCGAAATCAAGGTTAAGAAAGCGTCAGTAACAACAGTTTTGTTTAAAAAGTGGAGGAAAATGATGGTGAAAAGCCGGATGTTTGGCTGAGACATTACACAAAAACACGCAAAGGAGAGATAAGTTCACGGTTTATTCCATCTGGTAAATCGGTGAATACAATAGCTGTTGGCTCTAGAAATATGTTTGCTCTCGTCAGTCATCAAACATCAAGCCATGTGTAACCCTTCATTCGGAAAGCTTTTGTGGTATCCCATTAGGAAGATTCCTGTCAAGAACAATAGTCGGATAAAGGAGGCAGAATGTACAATATATCGCGAAGATAAACAGCCTTATTTCCTTGTTGCATTCAAAGAAAACAGAGACATGAAATCTCCAAAACTGTTCTCGTTTTCAGCTTTATTTGTATTATCCAGGAGGCAAACTTTTAAGCAGTGAAAACTCGGTAAATTCAGATTAGGTTTCTTTGAACCTAAGTATTATGCTTCAATTGAAGCTGATCGGATGATCGATTTGGGATACCTGTAGGAAGTACGTAAAATGAATTGCCGACTGCTTCTTTGGATAGATAAGCTCAGATTAAGCTTGCAATTTAAACTGAAATTCTACGAGCTTACTCTGGGTGCGTGTAAGATAATTTCCAGCTCGAAAAAGGGCCCTGCGTTTCCTGCATTTCCTGTTGTCCTCGTTCCCAAGCGATTTTACAAAATCTACTGTTGTTGTGCAGTGATTGAAATCCTCTAAAACACTACTCATAGCTCTGTCACCTCACTGACTGTAAGTGAAATGTGCAGAGCTAGGGTAAGAAACTGAAATAAGTGAAACTCTTGAAATAGATCAAATTTCTTCAAGGTAACAAGGCCACGCTTTGGCCAATTATGCAATGAGTATGAGCACTTTTCTCACCATCTATTTCAGAGAAGATGACCAGCACTTGCCACTACAGTATTTCATGGGATTATTTTCATGAAGGACCTTCGATAAACAACCTTGCAAATCATAGTTCCGTGTCAGATGTTCTGCTCTACTATTTGTTATATATGTTGTATGACAAGAGTAACGATTTGGTAAGTTTCCCCACAAGATCTTTTTACCGAACAGCTCCTCAGAAGCTCTTCTACTCCATAACAGAAAAGTAAACACGTAATCACGTGGAGGAGGAAAGGAGATGGTGTAGCCTGCCGTGCCATGTTGAAGTTCAGTTCGTCACCTCTTCTACCTCATCTACGTCCTCTCCTCCAGCTTTGTGCTTCAAAGGAACAGTTCACGATCAATCCAGATTATCTGAGTGGTAATTCAGAATAGTGCAGAAGTAGCGAAGAAAACCCGCGAATTGGCGCATTCAGGAGAAAACGGTGCTTGAAAAGGAGTAAAAATAGGCGTTGGACGAGATTATGATTACAAAAGTGCAGTGGTGTCTGGAAGAGCTGTGCAAATGTGTGTGTGTCATGG